AAGGTTGAATTCGTATTCCCAGAGGGTGGAATTAGCGATGACTTTTTACCGTAAAGATCTTCATACAGAGGATTAAACACACAATTGTAAGCAGGGTTAGACTTATTAGCATATAACTTGGTTATGTACTGTAACGACAGTTTAATTCGGCGTTGTTTTAGGGAAGGCTCGTCAGCTTCAATGTAAAGACTGTCAATAGGTGAAGATCGGAAAGATCCAAGACATAGTCTCAGACCTTGATGGTGAATAGAATCAAGCACTTTGAGATTACTTTTACAAGCTCCACCATAGACGATGGAACCATAATCAAGCTTGGAACGGATCAGCGATCTATACAAGTGTAGGAGGGTTGACTGATCACCTCCCCACTTAGAGTTAGAGACAACTTTCAAGAGATCCAAAGCTTTCAGACATTTTGCTTTAAGAGATTTGATATGAGGTAGGAATGTAAGATGATGGTCAAATATGATACCTAAGAATTTAGCTTCTTTAACTACTTTAATGGGAGTTACCCGATAAATGTAAGTCTGGGTCTTTATGTGGTTTATACTTACGACAGAAATGGATGCAGTTAGTTTTAGACTTAGAAAACTTAAAGCCATTTTGTTCGGACCAATCATTGATTTTATTGAGACAGACTTGCAACTGTCTCTCAATTGTGCGCATATTTTACCTCGACATGAAACATTAAAATCATCGACAAATAACGACCCATCAATAGAGTCGTTTAAAACTTTAGATAAGCTGTTGATTTTTATACTAAACAACGTTACCGACAATATGCTGCCTTGTGGTACACCCTGATCTTGATCGTAAAATTCAGACAAGGTGGATCCCACTCGAACCTGGAAATGCCTGTTTGTCAAAAACTGTGATATGAAATTTGGCAAACGGCCTCTCAAACCCATGTTATGAAGATCTGTTAAAATTCCATGTTTCCAGGTGGTATCATAAGCTTTCTCTAGGTCAAAATATATAGATACGGTGTGTTGTTTATTAATAAAACCATTCTTCACAAAAGTTTCCAGTCTAACCAAATGGTCAATAGTACTTCTGTTTTCCTAAACCCACATTGGATATCGGTAATCAGTTCATTTGTTTCTAAGTACCATATTAGTCTGTTATTGACCATTCGTTCCATGGTCTTACAAACACAACTAGTAAGCGATATTGGCCTATAGTTTGAAGGATCAGTGTGATCGCGGCCAGGTTTCGGTATAGGAATGACGACAGCATTACGCCATGATGAAGGAAAATTTCCCGTTGTCCAGATGTAATCGAATATATTTAATAAAGTTTCTAAACAGGAATCCGGTAAATGTTTAAGTAACTGATAATGAATATTATCAGAACCTGTAGCAGTATCATGAGCCTGCCCCAAGGCAGTATGCAGCTCATGAATGGAAAAACCTCATTATAGTCCTCCCCATTATCTGAAGCAAAATTGAGTTTCTTTTTTTTCTGTGTTCTTTAGTTTTTGAAATTTCGGTGTAAAATTTGATGAAGATGAATGTTGAGCTAACGTTTCTCCCAATTTATTTGCTATATCAGATTTACTGGTTAAGAGTGTGTCACCATCCTTCAGATGATGAACACCAGATCTTGATCCTTTACCTTTTATCCTTTGCACCATATTCCAAACTTTGGACATAGGTGTTCGAGAATTAAGTTTGGACACATAGTCCCGCCAAGACTGCCGTTTGTTTTGTTTGAAAGTACGACGTGCCTTCGCATTAAGTATTTTGAATTTATTCAAGTTATGGACAGTTGGGTGATGGCGAAAATATTTCTCTGCCTTTTTTTCTCTCGCTTTTCTAGCATGTTTGCAATCTGAACTAAACCATGGTTTCCGCACATGTGGACTCGTAGAGGACTTTGGTATACAATGATCAGCTATATCATTTAAAGCGTCAGAAAATACCTGAATAGGATCAGCTACATCACTGAAAAATGCGTTTTCAGTTTTGATTTACACATAGTTTCATACAAGGACCAGTTAGCCTTGGAAAAATTCCATCTTGTGTAAGATGGAGAATCAGCTAAGGTTTATTTCTGAAAGTATAGTTGGGAAGTGATCACTTCCACAAAGGTCATTATGGACTGACCAATCAAATTCATTGAGAAGGTTAGAGTCAGCCAGAGCCAAGTCAAAAGAAGAGTAAGTGCCGGTTGCAGGATGGAGGTAAGTGTGAGAATCATCATTATATATACAGAGATCATTATCTGAGAGGAAATCTTCTATTAGTTTACCTTTAGTGTTAGTGTTTGTACTACCCCAGATCGGGTTATGACCATTTAGGTCACCCACAATAACACAGGGTTTCGGAAGTTGATTATAGAGCGATTGGAGATCAACAAGATGAATTGCTGACGAAGGCGGAATATACAGCGAGCATAATGTAAAAAGCCACGTGAAACGTAATCCGCACTGCAACGGCTTGGAGATTAGTTTTAAGCGTTAAAGGACTATGGATAATACCCTGCTTAACAAGGATTGAAGATCCTCCAGTGGCCCTGTCACCCGGAGGAGAAAAGAATGATATCAATGAACTGACGTAAATTAAAATTGTCCACCTGCTTCAGGTAGGTTTCCTGTAAGCAGAAAGCTGATGGTTGTAAATCCTGAATCAATAGCTGTAATTCATTGAAGTTGGTCTTTAGTCCTCTACAATTCCATTGGACAATACGTGAAGAAACTATGTCTTTGGTGGGTTGATTGGAGATCTACCCCTTGTCTTTTGGGGCGACAAGCTATGAGCCCTGTACTGGATGTTTTCAGAGACATCCATGTCTTCGAGAGATCAAACTTATTGTAAATTTGGATTTTGTCTTCTGTCCCTTTTGAGACTCTGCCACTATGGTATTTTTTGACGATTCGTTTATTGGTTTGTTTTCTGTTTCGACACTTGCTTCCCATTAATTCCAGACGGAAGTTTGGAAGTAGACTGTGATGATGATTGTTCCTGGGAAGATGGCCGAGATTCAACTTCTGCTCTAGCAGTTGTTGTGGATGTTGATACAACGGTTTGTGTTGACTGGTCAGGAGAGTAGAGCTTGGGTGCATCAGAGTCAACCCATGTCAAATTTGTCTGGCATTGTGTTGACGAAGTGGACACAATAGAAGTTACATTTTGATGTGTTCCGGATCTCGTAACTGAAGCATAAGACTCATTTGGTTCTGGTGTCTGAACAACAAGTTTTTTGGCATCAGCAAAACTAAGATTCCTTGTGAATTTAATTTTATTAATTGCCATCTGTTGTTTCCAGATTGGACATTCTTTTGAAAAAGATGAGTGAGTACCAGAGCAGTTAGTGCATTGTTTAACGTTGTTATCACAATCTTCAGTAACATGGGTTTTTTGGCTGCAGTGAGCGCATGTAATAGAATTTGTGCAGTTGTTTACACCATGACCATACTTTTGACATTTGAAACATCTCAATGGGTTGGGAATATAAATATCAACGTTGAGATGACAATACCCTGCTTTAATTGATTTTGGAGCAGTTGGATAAGAAAAATGGAATAGGTAAGTGTTTGTTGGTTTAGTCTCAGAGTTTTTCCGTGTTGTGAATCGTTTCACAAATGTCACTCCTTGTTCTTTCATTTCAGAGACGATGTCCAATTCACTCATATCTGCAAATAGTTGATCCCGGTCTCTGACGATTCCTTTGCTTGTGTTCAAAGTTCTATGTGGAGATACCGAAACCGGTATTCCAACAAACAGCTGAGTTGACATCAAATTTGTTGATTGCGTTTTCCTGCTGCATTCGATGAGCAAAGAGCCTGAGCGCAATCGTTTGATATTGCGGACCTCACCTGCAATACCATGTACACCCTTTGACACTGCAAAAGGGTTTAATTTTAAAGGAGATTTGTCAAAGAGTCTCGAGAACTAAAATCGTGGCCAATATTCAATTGAGGTAGACGGTCGTTGGTCATCATCATCACTGTCAATTGACGTTTGTTTCGTTTTGGGGGTTTTGGTAGTCCATAGTAAGCGTAGAAGGTTCATCATCCGAGCTCCCCACCCGCCATGGAGTATCATAAAGACAATGCTAAAAACAAGTGGATATCCGACTTGCAGCACCAAGGATACTCGGATGATATACTCCAGCAGAAAAACTAAAAGTTTAATTATTCCACTGAATTGGCCCATGAGCCACCGCCTTCTGGGCATACGACTCTAGGCAAAAAGGAACAATCGTTCTCATTTAAAGTCAATTCAAAATTTGAGAAATGTTTTTGTTTTCCAAAGCCCAAAACAGGATCATTTAAATAAATCAAATTTGTGCAATAGAAAATAGAATGCACAGGGCTTGGCACAGCCGATTGGTTGAACCGGGCCCATTCAACCACCCGTCTAGGTGAGTAAGGGTCGAAGTGGTGTATTGGGCAAAGGAACGCTGTTCCTGGAACCCTGCCCTCAACCACCAGAATCCCGTCCTCCACCGACACAGGGGCGCAACCCACGGCAAACGGGTTGGTGGACCTAATATTCCCCGGGTCCACAACGGGGGTTGAAGGGCGCTTAGCGTGACCCAGCACCCACCACGAGGAGGTGGCCCTTCATGGGTTCCTTTTGGATGTTTTCAGATAACAAATTCCTCAGAAGGTAACCCAAATATACAATCAACAGTAATTAGCTACAGTTAGGAATATTCACAGAAATACTTCCTGATACAAATGGAAAAAGGATGTTTGCTTCCGGTTGCACAGAAAAACAACAAAGCTGTTCGTGTAGACTTGGGTGCATGTGAGTTGTTTTTGAGTCTTAATTTTGCTGGACACCAGGTGTCCTTAACCAACAAGTTGTACACAAAATCGACACAGCATGTCAGATATTTGTCTCACAGAATAAGAAATAAAATATTTCCATAAATTCTTATATTACGCAGTGAAGCCTGTAAAATGTCTGATGCGGCACTAAGTCACTCACTCACTAAATGCTTATTTTGACAAAATACGCCCAATTTAGTCGTCCATTAAAAAATAACAATTATCACAATAAAATATTTATTCGCATTTGGCTCGATTTCTTATGAAAGTTTAATATTTACGTAATTAGGTTTCTTAACCTGGTTCACGGAAGTATTACGTCGCCAAAATTACACCGGTTCTCCACTCCAAGGTTGTAGTGGCCATCCCGATAAGTGCTCGTCACAATTCTAAACCATCCGTGTTCGCCCTGAAATATTTGAACAATGACAGCTGAATTATTGGATATTTGAAACGAATACGTTGGCTATATACACTTTGAACTGCATTACAGTTATATCACATCCAATTAACGTGGAAGGAAATCATAAAATGTGTGCACGCTTACCACTTTCGCCATAAAAACACCGCTGAAACACCGAATGTTAGTACAGTTTAGCCGCCTTTAGCAATATTCCAGTAATATCACGGCGTTGGAACATCGGAAATCATCTATTCAAGTTTGATCTAACACAGTATGCTTTCTTTTGAGCACTAGTTTAAATAACTTCAACACACTATTATAATAAAACACCATGATTAATGTGTAATCTTTGTAGGTTTTAGTGTATATGAGTCATTGAGGAGATGCGATTGTGCAGAGGCTTTGTGTATTTCTCACTCCACCTAATAATGGCGCAGAGTGGTGAGGATGATGGATGAACTATTGACAACATGACAGGTTGATTTTCTTATGCTTAAATATAATATAATAAAGCATAAATCTTAATAGAGTGAGTGAGTGAGTTTAGTTTAACGCTGCACTCAGCAATATTCCAGCTATATGGCGGCTATAAATCTTAAAAGAGGCTGATAGGAATGTGCAAGGAAAATGTCACTTTTGTTAAAAAACACATTCGCGATAAAACCTGGGGACCTTCGCCCCAATACACTCTATAAGGGTGTAAAAACATATTTTGCGATTTAAAATAAATAAATATAGAAATAAATTGAATACACTCAATTATGTTCATTATAACCTTTGACACCACCGGCACCAACACTGCTAACGCTATTCAAGTCCGAAAAAGCGTGGTTAAATCGTTTTTAAATTTTAAGATTTCATAAATTTTGTGTGTGTGCGTGCCCCACCTGACTATCGTATCCATGTATTGTAGCTTGAGGGGTGGAACTTACCCACGGCTCTCCCCCAGGAGTTCCTACCAATCCAGTATTCGGTGCCCGTGCTTTCCTCCACTCCCCAACCTACCAGGGCTATCATGTGATTGCTCTGTAAAATAAGTGGGAGGTTTTAATTAACACGAGAAACATGATATAATAGGTGTGCGTTGTGCATTCTATTAGGAGTGGGCAACAAAACATTGAATATAGACAAAATATGAGTTGGTTAGTTTGTTGTTTAACACCGCACTCAACAATATTCCAGCTATATGGCGGCGGTCCGTAAATAATCGAGTCTGGACCAGACAATCCAGTGATCAACAGCATGAGCATCAATCTACGCATTTGGGATAATATGATACGAGTCAAACATGTCAGAGTTACTGAAGACCAATTCTAACCTGGATCTTCACGGGTAGACAATATGAGAAAGGCTCACCAAAGTACTGTCGGAAATAGAAAAAAACTGTTTTTAGGCTGTTACTCTTTATCACTAAAATTTACACAATTGCAAACAGCATATGTCGAAATAACCCACTTCGGCCTAACTGGGCGTTCAGTGGGATGCGTAATACGATATCCAGAAAAGCATGTTTACTCGTAAAATCGGGCAAAACTTAGAAAAAATACGAATAGCCGCTGAAAACAATAGATCAGACTATAGATGGCAATTAGGTGGCTCAGCCAGGTATGACGACGGACCGTCGACTCACATGGCATGAAATGCACGTGCTGCCGGCAGGCACAAGGGGTCATCTCAAAGATATTTTGTTTTTTCATGTGTATTGAATATGTCTCTATTGATTATCTTATCTTAAAAAAGTTCCCCCAACCACCGTCTGCGACACCCGTCCTACCTGTTTCTTTTTATAGTGATAGTGAGACGCCATGGTAGCTACATCTTTAATAGTTTCAGTATTAAAGTTATTATTTTTACGTCCGCTATCGTTTATAACGAAGCTTAGTCTAATTTCAAAATGATCATTTAAAAAGTGTCCTTTGTAATACAATATCATTGCACACTAATTTGCAGAAAGCCATGGTCTGTTCTGAATAGGTCGCAAAAAACCCGCATTGCTCATTTCTGCACTAATCTCTCCTCAGTAAAATCCTTATTTTACGTTTCCTATCTCCCTCCCACTGCGACTGTAGTTAGGCAGAACTTAGTTTAACAGATATTTCACACTTTCACATATTAACTACCTAAATTGTAGATATAAATGTGAAAAAACATTTTTTTCTATTTCCGACAGTACTTTAATAACCAACATCAGCTGAAGAACGATTTTGTTATTGGAGATGTACAGCAAACTTGGTTTGAAAAGAGTGAGTGAGTGAGTATGGTTTTACGCCGCTTTTAGCGATATTCCAGTAAAATCACGGCGGGGGACACCAGAGATGGGCTTCACACATTGTACCCATGTAGGGAATGGAACCCGGGTCTTCGGCCTGACGAGCGAACGCTTTAGCCACTAGGCTACCCTACCGACCCAGTTTGAAAAGAAGTTAGTTATAGGTCGTACAAAAACATGACGCCGGAAATACAGACGGACGAATATTTTTTGTATAACTATATATGCCTTTCCCCTCAGATCGAGGGTTAAAACACAGTTGTCGCGATCGACATATTTTTCACCAGCGAAACAGTCGAGACAGTCGATACCCAGCACGTGTTCATGCGAGGCGTTCGCCAAACCCTCCAAACCCTCCAAACCAGTAGCTCGCCTACAATTATGCCTTGGTTCAAAACATAATTCCAGAAGAAAAGATTGGCTTGATTATAGGTTATAGTGCCAAGTCAGAAATGCACGGACAAGACAAATCAAGAAAACGTTTTCAACATACCAGCGGGTTTAAGTTGAATTCACTAAAGACTCCTCCTGTATAAGCGTGGAATTTCTTTGTTGTGACGATAGAACAACTGTAATGAGATTTAACACAATATAATATTCAAAACCGTAATAGGATATAACTATTATTGTAAACAGGAAACAAACACTCCGGGGATATTTCTACAAGCACCTTAATAAATGTGATCAGCAAAGATATAGTAACATATCTTCAGGATAACTTGTCAAATATGAAAACAAATGTCATCTGAGAAAACAATGAGCTGTACTTCGTCATTGATAACATCCACGTATCATTTCGGGGTGAAAGGTTCAGACTAAAGATTAGTATCCCCATCCCTCATTACGGATCTGTTTACGCATACGAGACAGAATTTTCTGCTAGGGTTGTCAAAAATCAGAATAAGGTAAACTGGTAAACGACTTTCAGGGATGTCGATGATCCGTTATCACTGAATGACCGTCAAATAACCAATTCCCTTCGTATGCCTCACCCGCCCAATCCCGTTATTCACCTCATACGACAAGCATGGGCTGCTGAAGACCAATTCTAACCCGTATCTTCGCGGATTAACCATGAATGAATTAGTTAGGCCACTTCTGAAGCGAATATATGCTAACAACCTCATCGGTCCAATCTCTTTCGTGACAAACATTTCCCCGCTCCTGAACTGAATAACAATTTTTTGGTGTCGTGCCCTTCGAACGTGATCCCCAAAAGGTATCGTATCACATAGGTCATGGGTGTTCACCAGCAAAATAACACATTTATAACTGCGAGTTATCCATATGCTACATGTCCTGCTTGACTGTGTGGAATATTCCATCACAAGGGATATCTATTTCAAATCCCAAACTATGAAGGATCTTTTTAGTAATATAAGTTCTCATTTAATTATTGCATTCTTAAAAAAATTAGACTTGTTAACTGATTTGTAAATAGACACATATTTCATTATTGGTAGTTTAGATTAGTAACTGAGATTGTTAGTGGCTGTACCCTCAAAGGGGGTTGAAGTAGCGTAAAATTATTGTCCTCCTGAGAGGGTACGTAAGTCCCCAAAACTTTCAAAGTAAAATTTTCACGTACCAAGCCTTCAAACGTAGTATTTGTGTTCTTTTACATTTCGGCTTAATTATCCTACAATCACCAGCGGCTGAAGGGACGGTGTAAATCCAGCTAGGGTCCATGCAGGTAGCAAAAGTCCCCATGGTTCCTAGTATGGTGATCTACCTTCAGTTGTTGGCGATCTATAGCCCGTGTTTTATATTGTATTGTCTTCTTTAATTGGAATGTTTTACCTTTGTTCGCTAGTTTTATATTATACCTGTGATTATCTAGTATTTTTACTGTCCATCGTCGACAGGTTTTAATCTTCAAAATATTTTCACTTTTTATTGTATAAATTGTTTTCGTCACGATATGGCTGAGATATTGCCGATGTGACGTTAAATATTAACTCACTCACTATCCATATGCTACAGATCCCTTTGACCTTATTAACACATCCATTCGATCACAATGTCTTAGGCATTTTTCAGTAGGAAATTTCAACCTGTTTTTGATGTGTGAATGGTGATTACTTCTAATGCATATCGTTCCCATGACTTTGAGCTGTACCTCCATGAATAGTTCCAGGATCAACAGGGGCGGATCCTGGAGTTTGGAGAAGTAAGTGAGAGAGTTTGGTTTTCCGCCGCTTTTAGCAATAAACCAGCAATATCACGGAGGTGTTCACCAGAAATGGGCGTCATGCTGATCTAGAGACTGATCTAAACTCCAGCTGGACGTCGGGAGGATAGTCTTGTGGTTAAAGTGTTCGCTTATGGCACCGAAAGTACGGATTTAATTGGTACCTTTCCATGATTTTGTTAAACATTGCCTAAAACGGACAGAAACCTAACTCACTCATGTCAAAAATGATCAAGCGATTCTATGTAGTGTTGTTCTGCAATAGTAGCACAGAAATAGTTACCTTATTGGCCCATTCTTAAATATTTCCGCCATCAACACTTCTCGGCCACTGATGGTGCCGTAATCGCCAACATACCAGCGCGTGTAATTCTGAATGTATTCGCAAGTGTCCTTGTGACATGTGCCGCACTGGTTAAACTGGTTGCACTCTGAAAAATAAATTCATTTTATAAGAACAAAGATATATTTATTCTCGAACACATCTCTTTTCTGTCTTTAACAACAAGCATGCTCCGAGCAAAACATTTTACACTGCGAAGAAACAAGGACCAGAGTCTCTGCGAAATATTTTACACACGCTTCAAATTCGAATTGACTCTATAGACAAGAATGCATGTTCAAATACACATTCTACTTAAACGTACACAATCCTATCTTTCTACACAACTGAATAACTACAGCAATATGAAACAATCGGGTGTTCTTGCGCTTCTCTTTTGTACTATGCACCATCCTAGATCGATTGTACAGTGTTTGTATATATATCTCGACGGTTATACATTATAGATGTAACACCTCATAGCCGTGGATAATTTCGAAAATAATTTCAAACGTATATAACTGCGATATGTAGCAGTTCAAAAGAAAACCAATTTTAGGGACATACAACTTCTTACCAGAAAGTCCAGTGAACGATTATTTTTGAGGGTGTGAAACAAACTATTTTCCCCAATTTTCTGCAACAACTTCTCTTAGAACTACTTAGGCAATACGTAACATTATAAGCTTGTATCAATGTTTGCCAGTAAGATAAGGCTATTTCAATAGGTGTTCGATTACATGGGTACAATGTGTGAAGTCCATTTCTTCTACCCCAGTTATATTGCTGGAATATTGCTAAAAGCTGCGTAAAACTAAACTCAGTCAGTGTTATGGACTGACAAGGTAATGTCAACAAAGTAAGAACGCGTTTAGAATATGAACAGTACAATGTAATAACAGTTGGACGCCAATTAATAAAGTTCTTAAGATGCCTCAAGGTTCGTGTTACCAGCATCTTCGTCTTTACCGTCAACGATCCACCAGTCCATCTCACGTCGACACATTACGTGCGTCCTTGAGTCAAGCAATTAAACGAGTTAAATTATGGACGTCAAATGAACCCTTCTCCATGCATGGAATATCTTCGAATCCTAACTTTGTCCTATATCGAGGCAACGCGCGCTCATTGGCCAGATCATTTGCTGTTTCCTTTAACCAGGAATTTGCTTAATTGGTAGAAAATAACAACCGGCCATTTGCATTCACGGGTGATGGAGGAACGTTGTGTATCAAAACCCTTGACGTACTGACGTCGAATCTTTGTTGTGAGACAAGTGAACATGCCTACCCTGATCTTTGGCTTGAAAGTTGTTGCACGTTTCATCGGGGATACCGTCTCTGTGGGCGTATCTGTACACCGCCAAGTCCCCTCCTCCTTCACAAGACCCCGCCCCTCCACAGTCAATCACGTTCTGGACCGAGAGGTAAGCTGATGGCCACGCCCCCCTTCCTGAGTATATTGATGCGGTCAGCCAATGAGCTTGTAGAACTCATTCCCCAACAGGACGCACAGACTGAGAATGAAAAACAAGATTAATAGCTCTGAGACTGGTTTGGTTGTTTAACGCCGCAATACTCCAGCTGTATGGCGGCGGTCTGTAAATAATCGAGTCTACACCAGACAATACAGTGATCAACAGCATGAGAAGTGATCAACAGCATGAGCATCGATCTACGAAACTGGGATACGATGACATGTGTCAACCAAGTCAATGAGCCTGACAACCAGATCCCGTTAGTCGCCTCTTACGACAAGGATGGATTACTGAAGACCAATTCTAACCCAGATATTCATGGGTCCGTCAGGATTCAGAGTGGAAGAGATACTTAGCAACCTGTTGCCGTCATAAGTGGCGAATTACTGATGTGATGGTCCAACTCGGTGACTTAATTGCGAAGTGAGTGGCTTATATTATCAACCGCATGTTTGTCTGAACCATTTTTGACTCCAGCTTGGGCGAAACGCGCTTCATGTCGGAGAGCGCTACGTGAAAGCTCCCAAATAATCCTCATCATTATCTTCAGATTCGATCATACACAGGCCGTCATCATACAGAGTTCAAGCATTCAGGAGTAGGAACAAAAGAAAGAAAATGGAACGAAAGCAAAATATTCAGTTATGCTATCTAACAACAACAATGCAATGGATATTCAACATGTTTTGTTTGTTTGTTGTTTAACAACGCACTGAGCAATATTTCAGCTGTTTTGCGGCGATCTGTAAATAACCTAGTCTGTACCAGACAATCCAGTGACCAACATCATGAGCATTGGGATACGATGATATGTGTCAACCAAGGCAGCGAGCCTGACCACCGGATCCCGTCAGTCGCCTCTTTCGACAAGGATGGGTTACTGAAGATCAATTGAAGCCCGGACCTTCTCGGATGACAAGTAGTACTACTCACACTGTGGGATGTGCTGGTTCCGAGTGGGACTACAGTAGTTGGTGCCGTTGACGTTTCTCCAGTCCCAGGCCTTGGGAAGATCAGCCAAATTCATGTAGTCCGAGGGACGGGGCTTCGTTCTGAACAAACGAATTCAGTACATCTCGCAGTTGGGTTTAACGTCGTACAACATTTCATTTCTGTCACGACTTGCAGCTTCATATAGAAATAGGGGTGATAGGGTCGCCCAGTGATTGACGCGTTCGCCCGTCACACCGGTTCGATTCCCCAGCCCAATTACGGTGTTCCGGTCGTGATATTGTTGGAATATTGCTAAAGCGGCCTAAAACAACTCACTCATGCGGGAAGAAATATAGATCGTCAGTCTGGAAAATAAACCAGCGTTTACAACCTTCAGAAACACATTTCGTTTGGCGTGAAGGGAAATACAGCCGTGAAAAGTATATGAGAATGGATATGATGACACCAGGTGTTTGCGAAAGGGTAGCACCACCTATACACACATCCATTGTTTAAAATCGCCTAAAATGGGAGGTTTTTTTGCCTGCTGTGTCGCCGTCTCTAAACAAACCAGACAAGTGATCAACCCAGTTAGATAATTTTTAATTGCGACTGTTGTTTAGAGGTTCAGAGATTCCGATGCTTATAAGAAACGAAGAGGGTAATATTTGTGTCAAAGTCTCGGACCAAACAGAAAGTAATTCAGATCTAAGACGTTTACCGTTTTAGTTTAACTCCCAGAATGGATAAGGTGGTGACAAACCACTCAGTACATGCTGAGATTCGAAGCCGATATATAAGCTCCTGGGCCCGTTCCACGAAGCGACTGTTGTACGTTTATGCTAAAGTTACGAAAGCCAAAATGCAACGATCGCTTTGGATCCTGGTACGCCTATGTTACGCATCGTTGTACAGGACCGCCATCGTATAAATGTTGCTGAGCTTGCTGTTTGCAACCATTATGCATCAACCAGAAGGTGTGCAGGGTGTTACATCCTTCGGCTCAAACTCATCCAGTAACATCCCGCACACCCTACAGGGACATCTCTACAGTATGATCCCCTTCTTTAATGTATAGTGTGACTGAGTTTAGTTTTACGCCGCACGCAGCACTATCCCAGGTATATGGCGGCGATCTGTAAATGATAGTGCTGGTATTGGCATACAACCTGCGATACGCTACATCACGATACTACAATTTTAGTCATGACGATACATGGCCAGTGTATTGTGCGCTGAAGCTGCGCTACGATACGAATCCCGATATAGGGGTGGCGATACGATACAAATCCCGATATAAGGGTGGCGCTACGATACGAATCCCGACATAGGGGTGGCGATACGATACGAATCCCGATATAGGGGTGGCGATACGATACGAATCCCGATATAGGGATGGCGATACGATACGTACTAAAATCTTTAATTTATAAAACATCTTAAGATTAAAACAAAACCATTATAAAGTATTTCGTCAAATTCCGCCAGCGTTTTTCAATGTTCATTCGGAAATGAGATAATTAAGTTTATACACGGACTTTGTGAATGCTAATAAAATGCGAGCGCTATGTTTGACACAGTTCCTGACGCAAGAATTTCCGAGAAACTTATGATGGGACAATAAGCATGCATATATTTTAATCACCAAACAAAAGTAAGTCTTTCTTGAGAGATATCGCGATTCGGCAATATTCAAAGTAAAACATCGATGTATCGTGGCCCATTTGTATGTATCGTATCGGGATATACGACAATGTAAAATCGATTTGTATCGATTCACAGTATTGGCGGCCCATGGATCGATGTATCGATGCGTATCGATGAATCCTCACAACTCTAGTAAATAATCGAGTCTGGACCAAACAATCCAGTGATCACTTTAATGTATGGAGAAGTACATGTTGCACTTACCTGACCTCTTCTACACCCTCGTCAAACTTCGGGTGGTAACATGCCGGAACTTCTCCTGTCACGTGATCGGACGCACACGCCAAAATACTTAACAGGTAAATAAACCACGCTGCCATGGTAACGTTCCTGTAGTGATATATAGAAGACCGTTTAAAAAACAGTATTTAGAATCGGTTCCACAAAATACGAATGTCTATGTTAACAATATATTTTAAAATGGATTAAGGCTTGGGGCGGAAACGATTCCCAGATTTTATCCGTGGTTATAAAGTGTATTAAATACTCTGGACCCACTCGCTGTGATAACTTTGTTTCTGGACCCGTGGAGATCTGGGTTAGAATTGCTCTTTATCAACATATGCTTGTCGTAAAGGGTGAGTAACGGGAACGGGCGGTCTTCGGATTTATACAACGAACATTTAATACTTTTATCCCAAATGGAAGGAAAACAGCCATTGTCATCTGTTCTGTTGAAGAGAGTAGTGCGAAGTGAAATAGTGAATTGTTTGAAAGGGACTCATTTGCGATGCCATCTGGTCCAGGTTTCTGAATAATGGGTCAAGATTAGATGCTAGATAGACTGATTTATAGACTGAGTGTTCCCTGTAGTAGGTGAGAGAGGATGAATAAGTTCCTGAGTATTGTGCTGGCTGTCAACGGAAAGAAGTTTTGTAAAGAGTTCCGTCCACTGTTTGCATATTGTTTTGTTTTAGATAATGACTAGTGATCTGTATTCTTTAATTGTTTTCCAAAATAACTTTCTGCCATCCGCTCATTTAGTTAATTATCATCATATCCCAATTGCATATATCGGTGCTCATGATATTAATCACTGTATTGTCTGGTCCAGACTCAATTATTCACACACCACCATCATATAGCTGGAATATTGCTAATAGGCCAGCCAACTATCAAACAAACATTTGTTTGGAGCCCGATTCGAAACGAAATTGCTTGTAGATGCGCGTACGAAATTATGAGCCACGTTAGAGACAGGGGCAATGGTGACGTCATTTCCGTAACAATTATATGACAGAGAATGTGTAAATTTTATTTGCACATGTAATCGAGGATGGAACATCATATAAAGCTAATCCCTCTGACCCACAGTCATCCTAAATGAACACCAAGCACACATACATATATATGGAATCCCAGATGGGACATTGTCGCGTTGTCGCATGGTCGCGTTTTCTTTGGACCAATGTTAATATGCACAGAAGAATAAAAGCGACAACGCGACAATGTCCATGAGATTGACGACTAATTAATTACTAGTACCTTGCTGTTCGTGCCCCAGCTGTCCGTAATATACAGTCTCAGGTGACACAGATGAAGTATAACCTTGTCGGCTGTATCAGTGTCGGGTTTACATTAACCCTTGTCACTGATAACATAAATATTTACCGTGTGATAACCTCCCAATACCTGTAAACGCTGATATGCTCAAAATAGAATTGGTCTTCTTCAGTAACCCATGCTTGTCGTAAGAGGCACACTAACGGGATCGGGTGGTCAGGCTCGGTGACTTGGTTGACCCGGGTTCCATTCCCTACATGGGTACAATGTGTGCAGCCCATTTCTGGTGTCCCCCGCCGTGATATTGCTGGAATATTGCTAAAAGCGGCGTAAAACCATAATCACTTACTCACTCTTTTCAAACCAAGTTTGTTGTACATCTCCAATAACAAAATCGTTCTTCAGCTGATGTTGGTTATTAGTGAGCCTTTCTCATATTGTCTACCCGTGAAGATCCGGGTTAGAATTGGTTTCCAGTAACTCTGACATCTTTGACTCGTATCATACTATCTCAATTGCTTAGATCGATGCTCATGCTGTTGATCACTGGATTGTCTGGTTCAGACTCGATGTTGTCAACAGACCGCTGCCATATAGCTGGAATGTTGCTGAGTACGACGAAAAACAAAACTCTCTCTCTCGTATCTCAACTGTACAGATCGATGTTCATGCTTTTGACCACTGCTCATGCTGTTGATCACTGGATTGTATGGTTCATGCTCGTTTATTTAGCTTAGTATTGCTGAGTGCGGCGTTAAACAACAAACAAATCAGTCGTGTCAGGTTAGTATTGGATGAAAGTCCCCCAAATTGATGCTTGAAACTCAAGACTACGGATAAGTGTACGAGTCTTGGTGGAATCCCCAGTGTACTGATCCTGGAACTATTCATGGGAGGTATATCCGTTTAAAAATCATGGCCCCATTACTAATGCAGAAACACATGGGCGAGTGACTGAGTTTAGTTTTACGCCGCACTCATCAATATCCCAGATGTATCTCGGCCGTCTGTAAATATTCGAGTCTGGACCACACAATCTGAAACACATGGGAACGATATGCACTGGAAGTTATCACCATTAACACGTCAGGAACAGGTTGAAATGTGTCATCGTATCCCCATTGCGTAGATCGATGCTCATACTGTTGATCACTGGATTGTCTGGTCCAGACTCGATTATAAACAGACCGCCGCCATATAACTGGAATATTGCTGAGTGCGGCATTAAACAACAAACAAACAAAATAAAGTTGGACCGGTCGGTTTGAAAAAAAAATTGTTTTGGTTTGTTCATATCAACATCAGAAAGCTAGGGAAAACATATGCTTCGATTTTGTTGTATTTTGACTCTTTAGAAGGGCTATAAAAAATCTGCATCTGGAGAAAAAAGAAAAGACCTGTGTAAACAAATAATTATGTTTTCGGTATACAGGAACAACAAACAAACAGCAACATCTTTTGTTGCCAAATTTGCCGATTTTGAATCCATAACGCCGATTGTATGCAACCAAATGCAGCAGAAAACAACAAGAGATTAAGTGTGATATTGCTGGAAAATTGCTAAAAGCGGCGTAAAACTAAAACTCCCTCACTCACTCAGCGTGCCCGAGTTCCCAGTCAAGTTAGTCGCCGCTTGCGACAAGCATGGATGGGTTGCTGAAAAACTAAATTGGATCTTCAAGGGTCGCATATATTGGGACTACACCAGTTTAATAGAGTTTTTGTTCTACACAATATTTCATTATGCCTGAAATCCTCACTGAAAATAAAGTGTATTGTCCTGTAGAAATTCTCAATTGTGCCATTGTTAACTTTATCGGTTCATCTATCTATAATCTAAAGAAATAGTGGATTGGAGTTTTGTATTCTCTTTAAAATAAATTAGGACTTCAACAAATATTGTACAAGCAATTCTACAAAGGTTTATGACAAGATAATTTGATGAACGATTTTGTTCGCGGTCCTCTAATTCATAAACAATTTATTAAGATTAGCTTCAAAAAAGAATTCTCTTTTGAAGCTACTCTTATTTAATTGTTTATGAATTAGAGATTTGTTTGCTCTTTGAAAGAAATTTAGACTTTAACAAATTAATATTGAACTAGCAATTCTACAGGGGTTTATGCAAGTCTATTTTTTGATGAACGATTGTGTCTTAAGGCAACAATAGCATTAATGTTGAAATCATTACAAACTGCAATGGAATAATTAATGTATGTTACTTGTAACACGGTAACGTCCGCCATTACTTGAAACATTTGAATGCAACGGAGTATTGTCGAGCCATTTAACAGCAGTGTGGACAAATAAAACTTTGAGCTGTATAAAAAGACACAGATGCTACTCAGGTCGACCTTAAGGTCACAGACCCGTGAAGATCCGGATTAGAATTGGTCTTCAGTAACCCATGCTTGTCGTAAGAGGTGACTATCGGGATCGGGTGGTCAGGCTCGCCGACTTGGTTGACACATGTCATGGTATCCCAAATGCGTAGATCGATGTTCATACTGTTGATCACTGGATTGTCTGGTCCAGACTCGATTAATTACAGACTGCCGCCATACAACTGGAATATTGCGGAGTGCGGCGTTTACCAACAAACCAACGCAACCCACCCAACCATAAGGTCACATGTTAGAGCTAAGAGTGAGTGAGTGAGCTTAGCTTTACGCCGCTTTTAGCATTATTCCAGCAATATTACGGCTGGGGACACCAGAAATTGGCTTCACACATCGTGCCCATGTGGAGAATCGAACGTGGGTCTTTGGTGTGATGGGTGAACGCTTTAACCACTAGGCTACCCCATCGCCCCTGGAGCTTAGAGCTTCAAACAAGAACATTTATAGGACTGCACGAAAGTATCCTGGAAAGGAAAGTAAAAAAAAAATGCACGTGAAAGCCATGACGACATTGTGCGCTGACAATAAATATAGGAGGTCAAACGTCACTGTTTACAAAATAAAGAATTATGACAGGAAAACATGGACTGAAAAACATAGACTGAAACGATACGAGCAAGAATGAAAGTGTCGCCATCTGTAAGTGCATCAATATGACCGACCAATCAGGAAGTCTGACACAGACCACAGAATATGCCATTTTGTCAGTCAGCTTCACGCGTAGAGCTTTATAACACATGTTACTATGGTTGACCTGCAGGTAAATGCGATTTTGAAGAATTTTCCTTATAGTTAAAATTACCCATCATTCAAAAATCGAACTAAACTGACGTACTAAAGAAAGTACACACCTGACGTTTTCGCCGTGTGTCAGTTGCGTAGATCGATGCTCATGCTGTTGAACACTGGATTATCTGGTCCAGACACGATTGTGTACAGAAAGTCGCCATTTACACGTAGCTGGAACATTGCTGAGTGCGGCGTTAAACAACAACCAACCAACCAACCAAAACAATGTCAACATAGGAGGAGTAATTATTGAGGGAAACCTGACACACTCCTATACAAAATAGATTCATTTAATCCACGCAGTCATCAGATTATAAACAATGAATCAAATTAAACTTTGACTTATAAATAATCAAGAATGTATGAATATAAATTTGTCTGGAACAAAATAACTACCTTGATTCTGATAATTGGTTTTGTCATTACTGGGAAGCTTGAACAATACACAAACTTCAAACGCCTTTTTCGCCTGACATAAAAGAGGTCAATGAACATGAAATATGAAATAAAGCAGTGATGTTTCCTCTGAAAGATTTTAGATCTTGAAATGTGATATAGTTTAGATATTAGTAATCTAATTTTATTCGTTAATATTTATCTCAAGATCGCTCAAATGACTTCATGACTGGTCATAAAAAACTGGATACAGACATTTCACTACGTCCTTGTAACAACGAACTCAATCCGATTAGCGAACAAGCAACTGTACAAGGTTTAGGTTAAAGCTACAGAGAAGTTCGTTTTGGTATTCGTAGAAATGAAAACCTTCGGTGTCGGTGGTAAAATAGGTTTACTTATATGGGTGCACATACAGCTCGCTGATTGCAGTGGTGCCTTTGAAGATGCAAAGCTGGAGCATGTTGGTGTGGAAAACCATCAAGATATGAGGTCCTTGAAGCCTTCTTCACGCAGTTGTGCCACAGCCTGTGTCTTGAATGTAGACTGCGTCTCTTTCAGTTACGATCTTCAGTCTCGCATCTGTCTTCTCAGAAATACAATTCCTGGGAACAACGATATAGCCTACGCTAAGGTAGGTCTTCCTGTATATTCTGTTCGTTCTAAATAATTTTCTCGTCGTTATGGTATGAGGGCTCAAATGGTGTAGAACTTAAAAAATATCAACGAGAACGCACGGTGGTTTTCAGTACAGGTCAGAGTTGCATCCCCTTGGTGTGCCAGGAAACTATGATCGTGGTTTCGAATCCCAGAATCATACATATACATCACTTCGGTCTTTGCCCCCTCATCAACCTGACACATGGAGTATATGAGGCGTTAAATAATAGACTAAGTCAAAAATGATATCTATTCTGAGGAAATGATGCTCAGAGTGCTAGGTAAATATAATGCGACGTATGTTCCAACGTAAGCTGCGATGTAACCTTCGACACATGCTTTAACAGAAGCTCCGACACATGCTGAAACAGAAGCCCCGACACATGCTATGAAATAAGCTCCGACACATGGTCTGTTAATCTTCCACACATGGTCTGCAATAATCTCCAACACATGCTCTGAAATAAGTTCCGACACATGCTCTGACATAAGCTCCAACACATGCTCCGACAAACAGACTTCGACATAACACATCTTCCGAAGTAAGTGAGTTAGTTTTACGCCGCTTTGAGCAATAGTTTTAGCAATATCACGGCGAGGGACATAGGAAATGGGCTACACACATTGTACATAATTCCATTGTGGGGAATCGAACCCGGAGCTTCGGCATGATGAACGCTTTAACCGCTAGACTAACCCACCGCCCGTATTCCGAAGTAAGCTACGACACACATGGGCGGATCCAGGAATTTTGAAAAGGGGTGGGGGTGGGGGTTGGTTCAGGGGGTTCGAACCCCCTGAACCACCCTTTGGCTCCGCCAACGCAAAAAAAAAAA